GCCGCCTGGGTGAAAACCAGGAATCCTAACCGCTAGACCATATGGGAAGGACTTACAAAACGCTTCCAGGAAACGGTGGTCCAAACTAAGCCATAAAAATCGTTTCTGCCCCTACAGGTATGTTTAGGAATTGCAGCAAGTCGTCCTTCAAAATCCAACCTCCTTCGAATAAACTTCTTGTGGTTTTCAGTAGAAAAGTGACAGACTGACGTTTTAAACATTAATGTACACGTGTTTGAAAACTGAAACGCCAAGCTCAATTAAAATGTGCAAAATAAAATAGGGAGTTTAAAAAAATGTATCGGGGAACCTGTGTCACGTGTCCTTTCTTTGTCAGTTTCACCAATTCTTTTCGAATAAAAAAAAGATCACTATTAGTTCCATTGTTATGCAACTTTCTCAGCAACTTTAAAACGCGTGGACTTCAACTCCCGACTTTCCACACAACCAACGTGCTGGCTGGGGATTTCTGGGAGTTGATGTCCACGCATCTTCTGGAGCTTGAGAAGAATTACAGCTCTAGTGGAAATCGAACGGGTCTTCCAAAGGATCCCATCGGGCTGCTTTAATTGCCAGTCCTGGAGTGTGATCAATGGAGGGCAATGGCTTCGGTTGATTCATGCAGATGCCTTCAAACGAGATTAGGGCGATTCGTAAGGAAGACTTAGGAGTTGTGTCTAACTTTCCCAGACACAAAGCATAAGCAACATACGCAGGTGCGTTTAAACCTGCCTCATTCAATTGTGCACCTGCATCGAGACATACAATTCCTCCCTCGTACACGTTACACGCACGGCTATACCGACACGCGTCGCTTTCCTCGTAAAAAAAAGCGGCTTATCCACGCACAGAAATCTTACACACCATTTCTGCGGGCAGACCCCCAGATCTGTGCCTGAGATTAAATGTCCTGATCTTTCGTAAATTTATTAACTTCTGCACGACAGGCGGCAGATGATTCCCACCCACCCCCTTCTGCACACACACCCCAGCTGCAAAACGATTCAGGCTTCCCTTGTCGAACGCTACAGAAACAAAGGGCACCGTTCTTTAAGGGTCACCATGGCAACAGTGAAAGGAAGGCTTCCAGAATCAGCCGGAAGTTATCCGCAGCGGATTCCCCCCCACCCCCCCGCGCATTGCCCAATCCAAGCAAGCGAGGATGCTCGGCTTCTGGCAGGAAGTGATCCCAATTTGATGGGCAGGTGCCAAGGCTTATCGGAGCGGGAGGCGGGGTTTAAGGGACAGCTGGGTCCCGATGCTGCTGCTAGGGCTCTTGGGTGAGGGTATAATGAAGGGGCTGGGAGAGTAGAATGGAAAGAAAGGTGATGGAGCAACGGAGAGGGGAAGGGAGGGCAGAAATATTTGGGAGGGCCTCAAGGGAATGGGGACAAGGAAGAAGTATGGCCAGGGATGCTATGGGGCAGAAGGAAATAGCCAAAGAGTGGGTTTTGTGGGGGTGATGAGTTTATAGATGTGAACTATGCTTGAAAGCAAGGAAGGGACGCCAAGGGATGGCTATAGATCAGTGCTATTCCTCCTTGGATTCCACTTACAAAGCTTCAAGAGATTGTGTATTGGCCCCATTTGTAAAGTCAGCCATGGGGTGGCACAGATCTTACTGCTTATCTGTACCATATTAGGAATCTAGGGGAAGCAGATAAAACTCTCCCCAAACCCTTGCTGGGAGCAAGGACAGATTTCAAGCAGTAATATAAATTGTTAAGGTAGAGAGTACCAATATTTAGAGTTCAAATCAATATAACCAAGGAGCAAGTTATCAAATTTGAGAGGGATGAGGAATGGTAGGGGGATGAGAGGGATAAAAACAAAAGAGACTGGGGAAACAACTGAATTGAAGAGAGGTAGAGATTTCAGGGTGGGGGGCAAAGAGGAAGGGGTAGGATGACAAGCACAGCTCTTGTGGACAAGCATGCAGGATGGTTTGGGAAGTAGGAGCTGAAGGGGGAGATATGGCAAATCACCAGGTGAGGAGAACAGAAGGATCCAGAGATTCATCCCTCTGCATCCCTTACCCCCCTCTGCTTTCTCACAGAGACAGTGGGGACGATGGGGCTGGTGGCTTGCAGAGGGGACTGAGCCTCTGCCTGTGAAGAGGCTTCAACTATATGCCCCCCTCCTCCCCCATCATGGAGCCCTTGAAGGAGCGGGCTGGGTGGTGCGCAGGGTACTTGGGGGAGGAGGCTGTGGCTGAAATGAGACCTTTGCTACAAGAGAATGCTGGACAGGTGAGTATTAGGAGGACCACTCATTGGGTCTCTCTTCTTATTACTGTCTTCTGCATCTTTCTTTTGTGTGAAGTCATCATGACCCAAACTCTGTTCAATAAGGCCAATTACATTTGTCTAAGAATGTAAAAACGGCTTTGCTGGGCTGAGGTTTCAAGAAAAGTCAGAACTCAAAGCTGAGAGTATGATTTCTGGCCAGAGCAACACTACTATTTTTTTCTGTCTGGCTTATGGAATCACTTCAGCATCAGTTCCATTGTTCTGTCTTCTGCTGGTCTTCCAACAGGAGCTTTACAAGCACCATATCCAGCAGATCTGATTAAAAGCTAGCATGTCTACAGCAGTGGACTGTAAGCTCATAAAATAGAGCCTGTAGGTCATTTAAAATAAAGACTGTAGGTCATTCTCAGTGCTCTGAATCAATCCAGTGGCTGGTTGACAGAGTAGCCCTGCAGGCCAAATCTAAACCAATTGTTCTTGACCGTGATTCTTTGAAGGAGGAAGTTCTTTATATTATTTCTGGCCCTATCCTTTATCCCTTGCATCAAGAGGGAAGGGACTTTGAACCTCTCTGTTAATCTATCAGCAGAATACTGTACTATATCACATAAAAGGGAAATGTTATTCCTGGCTTTCCTTCTTTCCTCCTGTCTCTTCTCAGATTATCTCTCTTTCTATACAATTCCATTGGTCAGTGTATGCATCTTCTTTTTCAGGATGGTACTGAAATGAAGGTTGAGCCCACAGGTTGGGGATCAGAGGATCCAGAGATAGAGGAGGAAAATACAGGTCCAGATCCTGTGCGGGTCTTGATGTTGCCACTTCAGGCCCAGCATGCCATGGAGAAGATGGAAGAATTTGTTTTGAAGGCAAGTTACACCAATTAAATTAAGCCTTCTTGGATGTCACACTCTTTCTAACTTCATTCTTCTACAACTGTTGCCCAGCAGTCAACTCTTGAATGAGCCCCATTGATTCTGAGGCAAGCCAATATGTCACAGCAGTACTCCAGGAAGCATCATTATGACTTCAGCTGCTGACCAACATCCTCCTTCTTCTCAGCTTTACAAAGCTGGGAAGAAGAGCCCCTTTTGCCAAGTGATTGGGAGTGGGAGAGCCATAAGAGTTCCATCCTTTACCCCGGGGAAGAGAGTCTCCTCTCTGCCATGACAACCCGTTCTGAGCCAGCTTCTGGGCGGGTTCGTAGAGGGGCAAGGCCATCTGGCCACATTACCCAGAACCAGGAAGACCAGGAGGAGCAAAATTGGAAATGCTGTGGGCTCACTCTTCTGACATGCAACTCAGTCACCCAGCGGAGTTCCCTTCAGGCCCACATCTGAGGGAGGCCATGAGAAGGAACCATAAGGCAGCACAAGGAGCAAAAGACTACACTTCCAAAGATCTGGAGGTGAACTACTGCCAGATAAAGGCAAGTGGGAACAGTCTTCTCCTGGATCAGTATTGTCCTCTGTTTTTATAAGCTATGTCCAGCCTACTTTTGAAATTGACTGAACTCTAGCATGTAAAATATCTTATCTGGGACTCCCAGAAATCCGGTTCAAAGTCAAATGTATGTATGTATGTATGTATGTATGTATGTATGTATGTATGTATGTAACTAGACATGTATATGTCTAGACATGTATATGTGTATCTGTGTTGCTATATAAGAGCCCCCTTCTCAAATAAGATCATTACATCTAGAGTCTAGAGTTCCTCACTGTATCATTTGATATTGTGGATCATCAATGACTAACGTTTAAGAAGACCAGAAAATGAATTTGTGATAGAAGGCTGACCATAATTTCAGAGGAAGGCAGATAATTTATTCACTGAAAAAAAGGAAAGGAAGTTTTGTTTTTGTTTTACTTTGTTTACATTAAGAAGGTCATGTAGATGATGGCAGGTAAGGTCTCTTAACTCCTGTCCATTTCTTTCCTTTTTCCAGGAATTCATTTATTCCTTGGTTGATTTTTGGTATTTTTGTTAAAAGAAAATATTAGAAGAAGGTGAAAGGAACAGAAAGGTGGGAAGAGGAGAATATCCCCTTATTTTTTATTCCTTTCTTCTACCTGCTTTATTTCTCAAAGGGAAGACTTGCAATTAATAGACAGTTTCCCATTACCTCTATTGAATTTGATACAATAAAACTAGACCTTGAGATACTGTCACAATCCTATATCCATTTACTTGAATGTAAGCTTTATTAAATTCCCTTTGACGTCTAAGTAAAAATGCTTCAAATAGCACAGTGTCTCAAACATTGGATATAAAGATTACATTAAAATCTCCACTTAACCATGACTGACATTCCCAAAACCTCTGTTAGGCCAGAATTGGCAATATGTTCCCTGCAGATACCAACAGCACTATTAGATTGCCAAAATTGAATACTTCTTGTTGCTGTTGTTTAAACAGCTGCAATTTCTCAAGAAAATTACATCCCAAAATAACTTCATGTTCTGGCATGAGATACTACTATTAATAATAACAAAAACAATAATAAGGTACCAATAGTAATAGGAGCCCAAAGGGATTCCTAGATACATGGAAATTTTGAACTTATTAGATTTGAATATCATGACTTTGCAAAAAACCACCCTACTTGACTCAGATACTACCTTAACAGCTCTTGGTTAAGACTTGAACTGTTAAGTTTTTATCAGTCCCAGATTGTGAATCAAAATGAAGATTAACAACAACAGCAATAATAATAATGCACTGGTACATTATGAATCCTAAGTTCTTGGAAAGAACTTGTTGCGTATGAAAACTAAAAAACTGACAGCCGTGATTTCATATTGTTGTATATGTAATAATATAATTCCTATTATTTCCATGCCTCTAAATGATGCAGTGGTGCCCATGGCCTGTAAAGGTGGCTTGTTCCTGAAATAAGGCTTTTTGGTCAGTACACCACCCCAACTCAGATGGTTATTTGATTTTATTGCTATTTTTTTTGCAAACAACTCTGTCTGTCTCTGTATCCCTCTCTATAATAGTCTGTGAGACTGTTTTGAGGAACAGGAGGAGGAGCCACAGATGTGGTGACAGTTTAATAAGAGGCAGCTGAGTCCACAGAAGGAATCAGGGCTTCTTGTCTGGACTACCTCTGAGTTGCCCAGACTGCGGCTCTCCTCCTGCTTGCTGTCTCTCATTTCACCTATTCAAAAAGTTTATATGATCAAACTTGCCACATTTTTATAACCAAAGCTGTTTGATTTGAACAGTAAGAAATTACAATAGTTTTTTTTTTTCCCCCCATTGCGGGAGTGCTTGTTTTCAACCAGACATTCAATCAAGGTGAAAAGTAAATGCTGCTGAAAGCAGGGCTAGCACTGCTCGCTTGCTTGTCTTCTGCAGCTAACAAATGAACAAATGAAAGCAGAAGGGATCGGGAACCCAGTGCATTCTTTGAACCCAGTCAAAGAAGAGCCTGAAAGCAACTGATGACTCCTGTTATGGTTTAATCGTGATCTTTAAAAATAAAATAAAAATCAATTACACCTTGTCTTTCTTCAAGGAGCTCCAGTCAATAAGAGGTTTGCATCCTCTTTGCATCCTGCCCATTTTGTCCTCGGGGCAAGTCTGTGAGGTGGACTGGGCTTGTTTATAACAAAAGGTTCCAGCTGGAGATCATTGGGAACTTCCCAACGCAAAAAATAATTAAGTTTACTTAAAATTAATTATCAGCTGGAAGATACCCCACTGCCTGTTTTCAAAATATAGGATCAAGACGAGTGAGTGCATCTCCATACTAAATACATATGCCCATGTAGCTTGTTTGCTTTGGTTTACCTTAGGGATGTCAAGATATTTTTTTTCAGGATGCTCTGGGTGGCATATGGTGTCTGTGCATCAGAAAAAAGACATCTCATATTTAAAGAGGATCCATTCAGTGCATTTAAACTTGAATAGGTTTATTTTAAATTACATTAAATTCAATAGATCCTTTGAATATAATTCATTCTTGATGGATTCTATTACTCTCCTCCACTTTGGCATAAAAAATACCAATTTGCTTGGAATGCTTAGAGGGCCCCATCTAAATCGTGGGGGTGAAGGGCAGTTAGGCTGTGCAACTTTGCCCTAACTTCAAAGCACTTTGGAACCTTGAATTATTATTTTTTTGGTCTTTTAACATCCCTTGCATTGGGGTGGAGTTGGGGCAACTGAATGGAGCCGAGTGTTTACTGGCTGGGTGCCTTTCCTGACGCCAATGCGGAGTTCACAGCAGAAATTTTCTCATTGTGCTAAGAGAGAGAAATATCTGCCGCTACCTAGGATTGAACTCACAGCCTCCGGATTGTGAGGTGAGAGCCCCACCCCTACCCCTAGGCTTATAGGGAATGAAGGCAAAAAACCAAACCTCAATGAAGTGAACACTAGAAAAATTCTTTCTGAAAACTCGAGAAATTCTTCTCTCCCAGGTTGGTTTCCCCCGCTCTCCAAGAAGCATAGCATAGCCCCAAGTATACAAACACACTCACAGTTTTGATGTTCTCAGCTCACAGAAGGAAGGGTATGACTCTTCTAGCCTCTCTTCTGCTGTTGCAGGTTTGGGAGGGCCGTTGGCGTGTTATGCCCTATGATGTGCTGCCTGACTGGCTGAAAGACAACGATTTTCTCCTGCACGGACATCGGCCACCCATGCCTTCCTTCCGCGCCTGTTTCCGCAGCATCTTCCGGCTCCACACCGAGACTGGCAACATCTGGACTCATCTGCTTGGTCAGTCACGGGGCAGAGGACTGTACAGCTCTATAGTCTGAGGAGGGAACAAAGAGGGTGGGAAACAAATTGCACTCCATCGCCTCAAATTCTTTGGTTTCCACAATATAAGTACTTTTTTTACTTTTTTTAAAAAAAAAAAACACATCCAGCATCAAACTTGGCTAAAAGTTATGATTTTCCACCAGTGATGTTTAATGACAGCTGACATAACATCCTTGACAATATGGAAGAAAATTTGGCCCTGTTCTAAGCCAAATATCCTCCTTTCTCCCCTTCGCTCCATAGTAAGCACTAGGGAATGAAAGGAGATCAGGATATAATTGCACTCTCTCTGTGCTTAAAGGTTGGTGGAAAAAGACATTGGTCCTAGAAATAGTGGCCTCTTCTCTCCAGCCTTGTTCTTTCACTCACCAAAAGCCAAAGCAAATTGCCCTTCCATTGCTATAAAGGTAACTGTACAAGGGTAGAGAAGGAAGTTTGTTTTCACACAAAGGAAGTACTCCTGTCTCATGACTTCCTATTTGTATGTAATAAATTTATTCTACTGCCCCATAAAGCTTTTTGGCCCATGGATTGCATCATTATTGTGCAACTAGATGGAGCTAGGGATCCAGTATCTAGCTGGCACAATTTTACATTAAGAAACCACGTCTGCAAAATAAAAAAGCATTAAAAAAAACAACTTTAATTCTACATTGAGAAGGCATACATTTTTGCAACTACCTCAGTGATGACAATGTCAGGGACTTCAACATTTACTCTTGGATGCCTTTTCACATAATCACATCTGCCCAGTTTCTTGGGAACAATGTACTCTTAGATCTTAAAATCCTCTTTCAATATGAGATGTCCAGCACCAAACCTGATCTGACATTGACTGATACTGTAAAGTTTATCCAACTAACAGGAGAAAAGCAATTCAATCAGCCATGATCCATCTCTTATAAATACATACATTTGAGGATGTATGTGTAAGAGAAGGACCTACAGTTTGAAAGATCACTGTGGTCCCAAATCTGGTTTATGGGTGACATGATAAATAAATATAGGACTAACTCAGTGGCTGCTTCTTGAATTTTAAGGTAGCAGGCTAGGCCAGCTTTGGTCAAGTTTTTTGCCTTCCCTTCTCCTAGCTAACTGAACAATGCTTGCTCTGTCTCTAATAATGTTATTGAAGTTTTTAATAAACATAGTAAAAACTAATACAAGCTAAACTAGAAGAGAAAAAAAGTTCAGAAGGTGCAAAAAAAAGAAAAAGAAAAGACAGTAATAAATTAGTGGCTTCCAACCTTCATTATACCAAACATAAGCAAATATAATAACTTTTCATCCTCTTTTAAAGTTACAAAATTGCACCTCTTCTCCCCATAGCCTTTTATCTATGCACAATCCAGAAATCATCTTTTCAAATCTAGTTCAGCAAAAAGTCCAGTGTGTGTTTCTAGGAATATCAAATATTATCCCTAATCAAATAATCCAAATTTTCATTCTTTCTTTTCATTATATATAGCCTTGATCTTTAAATCATTCCTGTGCAAATCACAGGATTCAATCTTTCACCACTCTTTGGCATTTAAAAGCCTTCAAAGTTTTCACCAGCCTACTCTGTAAGCACCATAACCCACTGCTGTATTTTTCAGATTTATTTTAAATTCTTAGGTCTCTTGCTTAAAGTTTGTTAAATCCAAGGAAGAAAGCAAAACTCATCAGGCGTCAAATTAAGCTTGCCATTTGAATGTCTTTAATATCCATAAAGTAATTAAATTGAACATTTCCTTTGTGACCTTATAAAAGGCTTCACTGCTGCTCAGAACAAAAAGTTCTTGTTTCTCATGGGGAATTGCCATACAGAGCACTCCTAGGCAATATCCAATTCTCCCCTTCTCTGGAGAGACTCGAACAATCAATCTGCTCACTGGTCTTTTGTCTTCATAGCGGTTGTCTCCACTCGTTCGCAGAGATGTCTTCAGTCAACCATGACTCACACCAGAAGCCACCTATACTTCTTCAGTGTCCCATTTCACACATTGATTCTCCCAACTTGAGAAAGCCCTATGTCAGTTCCTGAAATGGAGTCTCTTCAGGAGTAGATTCAGAAAGGATCCCTACAGTCAGTCCCTGTCAAACCAGATGTATGTTTCCCATTTCCAAACATGTCCCAGTATTTGAATACATGCAGAAACATTTATATATTGGTAACTTTCTTCCTTCTCCTCAGGGTTCCTCTTCTTCCTGGTTTTGGGCATTGGCTACATGTTCAGTCCCAACATGAAATATGTGGCCCCCATTCAGGAGCGTGTGGTCTTTGGCATGTTCTTCCTCGGAGCCATTCTCTGTCTTTGTTTCTCCTGGCTATTTCACACGGTCTATTGCCACTCTGAGAAAGTTTCTCGCACCTTCTCCAAGTAAGTTGATTTCCCCTCCTCTCTCCATCCTCCCGCAAACTTCTGGGGCACGTGATCAGCAGGCAAGAATTAAGAATCAATATGTTTTCTCTCATAATGAAACATGAGGACGTATGCTTAGAGTATCTGAGGCAAATTTCTTCTTTGGCTGATAACTGGATAGCCTTTTCTTATTGTAAAAGAAAAATCCCCATCAAGCCAAAGTAGATGACCGATCAGGTATTGGAATCTGTCAGGAGTTTGCCAATCTCCTCACCCTCACCTTTTTCTTCTGTTCTCTGCTACACAAGCAACAAGCAATGGAAGTGCATCAAAACTCTGGTATGCCACTGTCTGGGCTGGCCTGTAGCAGCATGCAGCATTTGGGAACAACCTAGGGTCCTAATAGGACCTCGCAGCTGATGCTTCACCATTTGAAACTTAATAAAAATGCTCTGCTCCAATTGAAGTTGTATCTTGGAGTCATCTGATTCATTTTTGTAACAATGCCTCCAAAGTGATGTTCTTTAGAGCACTATAAATCAGTGTTCCTCAACCTCCTCAATGTTAAGATGTGTGAACTTCCACTTCCAAAATTTTCCCTCATACCTTAAATCTTGCTGAAGTTGAGAAACACTGCTCTAAATGGTTTCCCAAGGACAGTAAGTCACAAAGTATCTGTATGGTAAATATACCATATACAAGAGTTACACAAGAGGTATTTGTGGGAGGTGTTACACAAGAGAGATTTGGGGGATTTCAGAAGGGTCTCTCACCATGCTATTGATTATCACAGGGAAGCCAATAGACAGCACTTTTCCTCAAGACTTCTTGAGCCAATAATGGGTGAGCTGCATTTAGTCTAGTGCATCTTATCACCTCCCGAGCACTTCCTTGATTCTGTTCCCAGACTGCCAAGTCAAAGGTTGTGCTGGGTGGGAATTTGAAGGCTGACACAGTGGGCCACAGGAAGTGCAGGCCTGAGAAAGAGCCCTGGCTGTTTGTGATACCCGTAACGTTTCCTTTCTTGTCTCTGGTTAGTGCTACAGAAGCCTGTAAAATCTGTGGGCAGGGATTATAGTGCGATACCTATGGAGAATGCCTCCATTTTAGGTGACAACATCAGTTACTAGTTCATAAAAAAGGGTTTCATTGTTCTACTTGCAACCAAGCCATCATAATATGATTCCTCCTTGTAGAAACTGGAATGTAGGTACCATCCTTGCTGTATGTGATGCCTGCATACATGCTTCCCATAACATGGATCATCTTGGCAGCGCAAGCACCTGTATTTTAGACTCATGTCCCTCCTGGCTTGTGAAAGCTTCCTAGGAGGTGACAGGCGGGTGGACTCTGGCGATGACTAATGCTTCCCTACAGGAGGGGATGGTGCCCCAGAACTTTAAGGAGGCTGTGGTTCGCCCTCTTCTTAAGAAACCATCACTGGACTCCACCCGGTTGGATAATTTCCGACCTGTCTCCAATCTTCCCTTTTTGGGGAAGGTTGTTGAGAAGGTGGTCGCGGAACAGTTCCAGAGGTTTCTGGATGAAATGGATTATCTCGACTCCTACCAGTCTGGATTCAGGCCTCGATTAGGGACAGAAACAGCATTAGTTGCACTTTTAGATGATCTCTGGCGGGAGCGGGATGGGGGTAGTGCATCCATCCTTGCTCTACTTGACCTCTCAGTGGCTTTTGATACCATTGACCATGGGATTCTCCTGGGACGGCTTCGAGGGATGGGAGTGGGAGGCCTTGTGCTGTCTTGGTTCACTTCCTTCCTCTGCGGCCGCTCAGTCAGTGTTGATAGGAGGGGAGAGATCCAACCCTCGCCCACTGCTTTACGGGGTTCCACAGGGCTCAGTACTCTCCGCTCCTGTTCAACATTTATATGAAACTGCTGGGTGAGACCATCCATCACCATGGACTGAGGTATCACCAATATGCTGATGATACTCAGCTGTATGTCTCGGCCCATGGTGAGTTAAGTGTTGCTGTGTCCTCCCTCTCACAGTGCCTGGAGTCTGTTAGGGGCTGGATGGGGAGCAACGGGTTGAAACTACACCCTTGCAAGACCGAGTTACTCTGGGTTTGGGGTTCATTGGCTCAGGGAGAATTACCACCTTTAGTCTTGGATGAGGTAGTACTACCCCAAACAGACCCTGTGCGTAATCTAGGGGTTTTCCTGGACTCATGACTCCTGTTCGAAGAGCAGGTGGCAGTCATGACCAGGAGGGCCTTTGCGCAACTGCGGGTTACACCCGTTCCTGGACCAACGGCCCCTACTTATAGTCACTCAAGCCCTGGTCACTTCCCGTCTTGATTATTGCAATGCGCTCTACATGGGGCTGCCCTTGAAGATCATCCGGAAGCTCCAGTTGGTGCAAAATGCAGCAGCCCGCATGGTTTTGTGCAGACCTGTGTGCACATATGTCACCTCTCCTGCAGGAGCTGCATTGGTTGCCGATTTGCTTCCAGGTGCAATTCAAGGTGCTGGTTGTCACCTTTAAAGCCCTTCATGGCTTAGGAAAAGGTTATCTGAGGGAACGTCTCTTGCCAGTCACATCTACCCAACCCATTAGAGCGAAGAGGCAGGGAATGTTGTACGTCCCACCCCCGAGGGGCCTTCTCTGTGGTGGCTCCCTCTCTCTGGAACATCATTCCCCCAGAGATTAGAATGGCCCCCACTCCAGCACTCTTCCGAAAGGCACTGAAGACCTGGTTTTGCCAGTGGGCCTGGGGAACCCAGAGAGGGATGGAGCATATCAAATGGCTAATGTGATCTGCTGTCGTCGGGGCGGGGGGGGGGGGGGTTGTTGTTTTTTAGTTTTTCCAAAATTTTGTTCCATTGTACTTTACTAATTTATTTGATTCTTTTTGTTAGTTTTTATTGTTTTATTTTAATTTTTTGTTTTAAATATGGTTTTACATTGTGTAAGCCACCTCGAGTTGCCATGGGTGAATAGGCGGCAATATTAAATAAATAAATAAATAAATAAAGAAAGAAAGAAAGAAAGAAAGAAAGAAAGAAAGAAAGAAAGAAAGAAAGAAAGAAAGCAGGCAGGCTAGAGGTTATTCACAGTATCTTGCCCACACTGTGGTTATAGAGATCTGTATAGTAAAATAGTTTAAAGGTTCCTGTATTTAAACTTTATACACCAAGCCCTGCTCTATGCATGATGTCTACTGATCACCCAACCTTGCTTTCTGTGGTACCTTCTGTACAGATTGGATTACTCTGGAATTGCCCTGCTCACCATGGGCAGTTTTGTTCCCTGGTTGTATTATTCGTTCTACTGCTCACCACAACCCCAGCTCATCTACCTCATCATCGTCTGTGTGCTGGGTATAACAGCCATCATGGTGTCGCAGTGGGATCACTTTGCCACGCCACAGTATCGGGCAGTGCGGGCAGGTAACTATTCTTGATTTGACTGCATCCTCGCACTGCTACATTATGTGGAGAAACCTATTAAAGGGAATACTGTTGGTTGCTTTCCAGTCTTTTGATACACAAAAACCAGTCATAACCTGATCATTGGAAACCGAAGTAATTATATAATATAGAGGAACTTGCCTAGCACAATGCAGCCTTCCTAAACCTAACATTGTCTAAATGTGAGGAAAGTCCAACATGAAAAAAAAGTTGTAATCCCAGCACATTTGGAGGGAACCAGGTTGGGAACAGCTGGCATACTGAATTAACATGAAAGATGCAGGAAGAAAACAATAACTAGCATAATATGATAGCCAGTGCCAACAACATCAGTTCAATATGAAAATATGTGTGTGTTTTTGTTGTCTAACAAAACTAACATCTGCTCCTTCATTAGTTAACCTTAAGACTCCAGTTTGGGGGTTAAGATTTTATTAATTGGATTGAGGTTAAAGCTGTAACTGTCCATCCAAGTTACATACTCTTTCTTTTTGGGGTAGGTGTATTTCTAGGCCTAGGGCTGAGTGGACTGGTGCCCACCCTCCATTTCATGTTCACTGAAGGTTTTATCAAGGCCACAACAGTGGGACAGATTGGTTGGCTCTTCCTCATGGCAGTCCTCTACATCTTGGGAGTAGGCTTGTATGCTGCCCGCATTCCTGAACGTTTCTTCCCCGGCAAGTGTGACATCTGGGTATGTCTTTGACAATAAAATATGGAAGAGGGATGGAGATATTTAAGCTGAAACTGAGAGTGAGTCTTCATATGAGTTCCACATTATATTTTCTCTTAGTAAAATCCATAGCTTCGTTCTATGATAAATTTGACACTTCATTTTGTCATGTCCAAAATATCAGGAGGCAAATTAAGATAAGTACTTTGCCTTGGCAAACTGTGAGGACACATACCAAATCAGACAAGGTAGGCAACCTTTTTTCAAACAAAAGAAATGGTGACATGGCAACATTCCCAGAATAGGCAGAGTGACATTTTTGCCTCCCTCCATTTATTTTTTAAGCAGGAGAAAGAATATAAGGAAGCTTAAGGATAGCCTACCCAGAGGGGATATGACAGCGTGCAATCCATAAAAGCAAGATTAAAAAAAACCAAGTCTATACAAAATTAATGTACTTAATCAATGTGTGTTTGCATGCAAGCAGTATAAAATTAATGAAAAACACAGAGTTAAGTGCTGCAAAACACTTAGATGACAGATTTATATGATCTGAAGAGAAACCAGAGTATGAGTACACTTAATGCATGGCTCACCTGGGGACCTTAAGTCACAAATCCTGCAGAAGCCCCAGCTTCTTTGTTTTTTGTTTAATTTGTGAACATCAAGAACAAAAGGAAATCTCATAATGTGGTGATGGGTCAATATGAGGCAGCTTGGGCTCCAATGCCTGTCTTCTCCTTTCTTTCTAGTTCCATTCACACCAGATCTTCCACGTCTTGGTGGTTGCAGCTGCCTGTGTCCATCTTCATGGGGTCTCCCAGCTGCAGGCATTCCGCTCATCACTGGGTGGCAGCTGCACGGAGAACACTGTGCTCTGATACCTTTTGAGGCCCCAGGGACACCTCTGCTGAATGAGGGCAGCCCTCCTGCCACCCTGCGCACTTCTGGATATGAACCACGAGGGGCAGGGCCTCTCTTAAAGGGCACTGCACCAAGTCGTCTTTTGAAAAACAATCTTTGTGTCCCAGGTCTTCTTTGCAGTTGGGGGATGGCTCTCCTTTCCTCCATTAGGGCAACCCACGTGTGAGCCTATGTATGATATGTGTGAGCATGTGGATTACACGTGTGCGTGAATTGCCAGCAACAGGTGTAAAGCTAAAGAGATGGGCGATAATAAGGTAGGCATTTAATCCCTTCAGACAGCTTAAAATGCAAGGTTTGTGTGGGGATTCCTATAGAGCACGATGGATGCATACAGTACCTCCCATAAGCTAAGGAGATGTCTTTCTTTCTTTCTTTTTTTTTTTTTAAAAAAGAAGTATTCTCAGGTCTGTCCAAACCGTGCATATTTGTTCAGTTCTATTTGTGAACTGGTGCTCTTTTAAGAGCCGGCTTATTTTCAGATGGGTGCCAAGAAAGCATGTTGTCTACTGAAATACGCAACAAACTATTTTTTGTCCCATCAAACGTAAAAAGTGAGGTAGGAAACCACAAGATAGGATGATTGAGCTGGCTTTGTTGCTGGATTGCTTGCTTCTCTATGGAAATGTAGTTTATAAGTCTAA